AGGGGTGACTTTTCCCTCACCCGCAACTCCACACGACCCTCCTTCTCTCTTCTGGCTGAACTCGATGCCAAGCCATTAAAAAATAAGATTTTAAAAAAGGCTCCTTTACTGCTTCGCATTAATGGAGCCTTATCAATTTCGAGGGCTTTTGCAACTGGCCTCGAAAAATACCCGACACACACATACACACAAACACACACAGACACAGACACAGACACATACACACACAAGCACAGCGAGAAAAAAGGGCCTGGCTCACGTCTGAAAGGAAGGAACCCAGCAACACACCAGGACACAACTCTGCACGCACACACACAAATATATCAGTGCACAACTCTGCACACACATACCCAAAAATATATCAGAGCACATCTCTACACACACACAAACACACACCAGAGCACAACTCTGCACACACACACACACACACACACACACACACATCCAAAAATATATCAGAGCACAACTCTACACACACAAACTCACACACCAGAGAACAATTTTGCACACACCCAAACACACACCAGAGCACATCTCTACACACACACCCAAATGAGATAGAGGACCCATGTGGCAGAGGTGTTTTTAAATACGAAGGGGTCCCATGATGATCCCAGTGCCACCTCTCATGCCAGTCAAAGGCTTTACTGGATCGCTCTTCGCTGGCGGCTCAGCCCTTCCAACAAACCCATTTTACATGCTAAACTACTGAGGCCTGAAAAAGGCATCATCTTCACCCTTACAAATGGATTGAAAACTGGATCGCATAGGGCCTTTGCAGACTGCCAGAAATAGTGCACATTAAATTGAGGCACTGCCCTGGCTCAGTGCTAGGGAATCATGGGAACTGTAATTTATTGTGGCACCAGAGCTCTCTGACAGAGAAGGTTCAATGTCTCAGAAAAAAATACAGTTCCCATGATTCCCTAGCACTGAGCCAGGGCAGTGCCTCAATTTAATCTGCACTATTTCTGGCAGTCTGCTTAGGCCTATAGTTTCCCTTGGAGAATGTTGGAGACTGAAAAGATCCCGGGGAAGGCTTCTCAAAGAAGTGTGACCCTGTGAGTCTCTTTCAATATTTGGAAAGGGAAAAGGGGTGGAGACCATCTTGTGGCAGCTTTCGGGCTCCCCAGTCTTTTGGTGAGCTACGGCCACTTCTTCCAGATGTGAGATTTCACAGAAAAGTTTTCCCTAGTTTCACAGGTTCCGTCCACACTGCAGAAATAATCCACTTTAACTGCCATGGCTTCATGTTGCAGAATTTTGGGAATTGTAGTTTGGTGAGAGATCTAGCCTTCTCTGTCAGAGAGCTCTGGTGTCACAACAAACTACAAATGCCAGGCTTCCGCAGCATTGAGGCATGGCACTTAAAGTCGCATCAAAACTGGATTATTTTTTCAGCGGAGGGGATACAGACTAAAAAAGGAAAGTCTCAGCCAGTGTAGTAGAGTAACCATTTACTGTGTCTGCACTGCAGAAATAACACAGATTGACACCGCTTTAACTGCCAGAGCTCAATGCTGTAGAATTCTGGGGAGTGTAGTTTGGTGAAACATCTGGCCTTCCCTGTCAGAGAGGTCTAGTGTCACAACATGCTACAAATCCCAGGATTCTATAGCATTGAGCCATGGCAGTTAAAGCGGTGTCGGATGGCATTATTTCTGCAGTGTGTTTTCGAGGGGTTGCGGGACGGAGGCTTTTCAAGAGCGAAGTTACAGACTTTTTGTGCCTGGGTCTCACTGCATACTGTCCTCTGGGCTTCCAAGTCCCGGGGAAATATAGTTTTCCTTAGACTTAATCGACTTTGGGGAGGGAACAAAAAGCCTGGCCTTTCATTGATGCCCGTTTTTCTATTTTTACAAATAAGGAAAAGAAAGGAAAGGAAAGGGAGGAGGAAAAATTAACTAGAATTTTGTTTTCTCTTTCAGCATAGAAAACAGAAGTGGGAATACTTTCGGAAGGAAATCGACTTCACGATGGCTGCATCTGCACTGCAGAAATATTTCAGGTCGACACCGCTTTAACTGTCACGGCTCCAAGGTATGAGATTCTGGGATTTGGAGTTTGTCGTGACACCAGAGCTCTCTGACAGAGAAGGCTAGATCTCTCACAAGACTACAAATCCCGAAAATCCAGAGCAGTCGTAGCTTAAGACAAGGAAATGCCTCTTTCTTCCTTTTGTTTCCTCGCATCAACTGGGTCCTCCCCGGTCAGAACTGTTAGTCCGGCCCAAACTCCGCCTGCTGTTTCCAGTGGACTCCTCTCTGGTGCCTCAACCCATGACAGTTCCCAGAATTCCATAGCATGGAGCCGTGGCAGTTAAAGCGGTGTCAAACCGGATTATTTCTGCAGTGAGGCTGCAGCCCAAGGGCCTATACAGACTGCCAGAAATAATCCATTTTGAGACCACTTTAACTGTCCTGGCTCAGTGCTAGGGAATCATGGGAACTGTAGTTTTTTCTGAGATATTAAGCCTTCTCTATCATAGAGCTCTGGTGCCACAATAAACTACAGTTCCCATGATTCCTTAGCACTGAGCCAGGACAGTTAAAGTGGACTCAAGCTGCATTATTTCTGGCAGTCTGTATAGGCCCCAAAAGTGGCGTCAAATTGTTTTAATTCTGTGACATCCAAAATCCATCAAACAGTGGTACCTTTGTTGGACCAACCAAAATGCACAATATACACGTTTTCGAAGCTCCACTGCCTTCTTCATCAAGCAAGGGGTTAAAAACCATGAATTCTGGTGAGATATTCAGCCTGGTTCATCATGAGATGAATTGAGAAAGGAGCAGCATGACTTGTTCCTGGATCTGATCCTTGTGATCTCCTTGATCAAAGCTGGATCGCTTAGGATGAGATACTTTCACCAAAAATAGTGTGCAGGGGTATACTTGTCTTTATTCCCAGGGAGGCTCAGACTCCCCCCCCCCCCCCCCATCCCAGCCAGTGCAAATATCTAAGAATTTGTGCAGGAAAGTGAAGACAACCCTTGATGTGATTGTGCCAAAATCCACAGCAATTCGCATAGTACACCTTGGTGTAGACTAGCCAGGAGCTATATGATTACTGGCAATTGAATGGAAACCTCCTTAATCACATAGAAATAGGTCCAAAACACCCTGCATAAATAATCCAGTTTGAGACCACTTTAAATGACCTGGATCAGTGCTACATAATCCTGGGAATTGTAGTTTATTGTGAAACCAGAACTCTCTGACAGAGTAGGCTAAATGTCTCCCAAAACTACAGTTCCCAGAATTCCCTAGCATTGAGCCAGGGAAGTTAAAGCAAACTGGATTATTTCTGCAATGTGTTTGGGACCATGGTCATAGAAACTCCAGCCTTTTTTTAACCTGCTGCACATTTGTAATCCTGTTTTGGTAACCATAAAGACCAATAGAACACTGCTCACTTAAATAACAGCTTTATTTTTACATCTGAAAATAAAACCCGTGCCTTGTGCCTCATATTTCTTCTCCTCTCCGCAAAACTAATTCATGTGGTAAAAAGCAATGAAACTAGATTGTCTGGAGGAATTACACTAGGCAACGATCCACTTCACTGACATATTTTAGGTACAAGAATAATTTGGTCATTAATAGGGTTGCAGGTGAAATAAAGGATGGGGCTTCTGTCCCTTTTAATGGCTGCATTGGAGAGGGAGGCTCAGCAAGTGTTGCTTGTGATGTAGGCAGGTCCTGCTCAAACTCCCTCTTCTATACAACTATGAAAATGGGATGCGGTGGCTTTGTAGTTGAGATGCAAGTTCTGATGATTGTAAGGTTGGAGGCAGTTTGAAGCCCATGTGTCGCATGATGGGGTGGAGCTCCTGTCACTAGTCCCAGCTTCTGCCAATTTAGCAGTTTGAAAGCATGCAAATGCAAGTAGATAAATAGGTACCACTTTGGAGGGAAGGTAAACAGCATTCAGTGCAGTCATGCTGGCCACATGACCACCGGAGTTGTCTTTGGACAACGCTGGCTCTTTGGCTTTGGGGGAGGGGAGATGAGCAACTCCCCTTACAGTCGGTTACAACTAGACATTCATGTCAAAGGGAAACCTTTGCCTTTACCTTTATACAACTAAAAAAGAGACAGGAGTCCTGTGCGTGTATTGTTTGCCTTCAAGTCATTTCCAACTTACAGAGACCCGGCCTAAGGCAAGCCTATCAAGAGTTTTCATGTCAAGATCTGTTCAGAGGAGGTTTGCCAGTGCCTTCTCCTGAGGCTGAGAGTATGTGACTTGCCCAAGGTCACCCAGTGGGTTTCATGGCTGAGCAGGGAGCTGAACCCTAGTCTCCAGAGCCATAGTCCAATGCTCAAACCACTATGCCACATGGGCCGTCTACCTTATTTATCTGGCAACTTTAGTCCTTAATATCAAAGGACATAACCTGAACTTGGAAAAGTTACTTTTTGGATATAGCTACTCCTAGAATCTCCCATCCCCCCTCCCAAGCATGGCTAGCATTGTCTAAAATGGGCTGGCAATTCCAAAGGGATCAGATGTCAATTTTCAACCCTGTTCTTCCATGCGGGGGGTTTCCATTTCTGGATTCAAATTTGGTTGATTTTTTTCCCATTCCAACTGGGGGAGGCATGTAGGGCTCCAGGCTGGCCCTACCAAACTCTCATTTAGGAGGTGAACATTTTGCCTATTTAAAAATGGGGTGAGCTGGATGTTGGGGGGGGGCTCCAAGGGCCCGTGCCCAGAAGACCATTTTTTTCCTACCCCTGGACTAAAAAAGTAACATAATTATATTTGTCCAAATTTTGTAGTAGTCTGTACTCTTCTAGCATTCTACAGGAACTTAGGAGAGTGAAGCAGAAATAATAAATGCCCCTTCCCAATTTACAACACAGATTTTCATAGATTGCCCAAAGGGTGATGGCCATTGGTTATTGCACTGTTCCCAAACTTTCTATTTTTATTTATTTATTTATTTATATCCTGCCTTTCTCCCACAATGGGATTCTCACAGTGTTTTGGTCTTCACCTTCTAGAAACCCTAGCCAGCTTGGCCCAGGATCAGGGATTCTGGGAGCTGAAGTCCAAAACATTTGGAGGACCAAAGACAGAAAACCACTGACCTATTGGATTCTTTAAGCAATGTCCCTCAGTTGGATTCCTACCAGAGTCTGGGAATGTAATTATTATTATTTTCTACTACTATTCCTAGACTCTCCCACTTTTCCAAGCTCCAGCAAGGATGACTTCAAAAGCTATGCCATGACAAAATATGGGGGAAGTTGCGACTTGTCTAAATGCACTCCAAACCTAGTTCAAACCCTGCGGAAATGTGAACCCTGCAGTGGCGTGGAACACTTCCGGTGCTCACTCCAGCTGCAAAGCATTGTTGGAGCAAAGACGTCTAATATGTATGTGTTGATGAACCCTACACTTCTTTGGCTAGCTAAGCTCCCAGGGCTGTTGTGAGCAGCTGTGGAAAGCTGTACGGTTAGCCAAACGGCCCACAGATGTCAATGTATGATTATTTTTTCTTGCCTTGGCAACCCGGGGTCTGCTTGGAGACTTAAGTGTGTTGACTTCCTTGCCCAGAATGAGTAATTCACTCAGTCCGTGTTATTAATTAGAAGATTAGCAGCTGTCATGGGTGAGCTTGTCTGCTGGAGAGAGAAGTTCGAACTAGGCCCAAAGCATGCCTAAAGAGAGCACCAATTGGTGTGCAAGGGGAATGGTTTGGAGGCCTGCTTTCTCCATTAACACTCCAGTGGAGGGATATAAAAGGGATTCGGAGATCCCAAGTACCTCGAGAAGGGAACCCAACAAAAAAGTTGTTGCTGGCAGCTGGGGTAAAGGCAATCCCCAGGGATGAGGGCTAAAGGTCTTCCACAAACGTGCAAAGTATGAGTAGGGGGCTTTAGGAGAAAAACCTTCCTAAGCCTTCCTGGCAGCTCACCAAAGCGGAGAAGCTGGGTGTCATAAAGAAGTGCAAGGGGAGCAGGAGCAGTTAAGTACCTTGCCTCTTCTGATCACTGATTTTCTTTACAGTTCCTAGGTTCCTCTTGGGAATGGGGGGGGGGGAATATCCCCGATTTCTTGGTTTCTTCAAACAGTTTGAGGCTCTTTTTTCCTTACTGCAGGAACTTCAGAGGAAGCTCGGAGCAAGGCTTTTCACACCAGTTTGGTTTCCATTAGAGGAGATCAGAGTACTGGAAGTGTGGGTTTTTTCTTGTTACACTCTGAAATTCTTGGCAAGTATACAGCTTGAGTATGTGTTTTTAAGCACCCAGGAAGCACAAAGAATTTCAATCTCTCCACCCTGCCATGGACACAAAAGCCCAAGTAATGAAATTCAAGGTGCTCCTATTCACTTATCTTTCTATGTGTCCCCCCATAGTTTGTTACAAGAGTAATATCTTTACTTGTGCTCTTTCACACAGTTTCCTCCAGTTAAGAATCCTTGGTGGCAACCAGTCTGAATGCCATACCACCATACCAACCATACCACGAGGAGCTTGCCTTAAGTGGCAGATTCTGGAAGTTAACAAATTACAATTTCAATTAGAAACAATTAAATATCAGAAAAGTGCAGCACCAAAAGATGTTGGAGGAAATAGCTATGTATCATGCAGTTTGCCCTGTATTAAGCTGCTTTCAGGTGTGATAGAGGGCTTTCTTGGTGGCTGCTCCCTGGAGGTACAACTGCCTTCCAAAGGAGGCTAGACTGGCTTCTTCCCTATTGTTCTTCCACCAGGAGTAAGAACATGACTAGCAGCTTTTAATGAGTGAAGGCTGCACTTTTCTCCTATTTAATTGTTTCTAACTGAAATGCATTTTAAGATTGTAATTTGTTTAATTGTGTTTGAATGCTTTAATTTGTTTGCTTGATTTTTCCCCCTCTCCATCTCCCCCCCTCCCAGTTTAGAATGCCATGAATCCTAGTTTTGGGAGGGAAGGTAGATAGGAGGCAAGAAAGCAAGCAAAGGACATGGTTCCATCCCTTCAATTACAAATAGATTCAACAGCCAATAAAGATGACTTCTGTACATGGAATGAGAATTGCAGCTTGCCTCAGATTTCCAAAATATCTCAGACTAGGTCTAGCAGTGGGTTAAAAAGAACATGTTTTGTGCAAAACCACAATTTTATAAGCAGTAACAAGAAACATGCCTGTTCAATGTGTATTTGTATGTATGCCCCATGAGATATGAATGCAAGTCAAACTAGGGTAGAGCAATAGAAGCAGAATGAGGAAGGGTTTTATACCATGAGTTAACAGAGACCAAAATGTACTGTTCTAGAATTATAACTGCCAATGTTGATCAAAAGCTGAGGAGGAGAATATTGTACAGCCTGCCTAAAGATGGAAAAGTGTTTAAATACAAACCTGTATGAATACATGAACCTGTCTTTTTAATACCAAATACTGGAATCAGTCTATAGTGCAAAGGTTAGGTTTTATTTATGAACTTCATGGGTTTTTTCCATTTTCTGTGTTGATGAATCTTCCATTTTGCTTTGTTTTTTGCAAATAAAATGAAATAACTAGAAGATTACACAGCCTAGTCTCCTTTCCCACTGAGTGAAACAAGCCAGAACAAATCATGAATTAATAGCTTGCAAACATTTTGTGTATTCATATCAGATAAAATAAAATGTCTACAAAGTTACAGTTTATTCTACATTTAAAGACATGTAAAACAGTTGTATTCTGTCAAGTGTTGTCAACAAAAAAAGCTGCTAAAAGTATTTATTGTTCTATCCAATTAACATTGGGTCACTAGCTCTTTTAAACAGGTTACCTAGCAGAACAATTAAAATTGCAGCCACACACACTGGAATCCTATCTTCTCAGAAGTATGTCTCATTGAACTGAATAGATGCGCATAGGCAAATAGTTGACTGAAACTTTATTATGTGAAGAAAACTTTTTAATCAGGCAGGGTTGATTAAAAAGACATATATTTTCCAATGCTGATAATGTGCAAGCTGATCTAGATGCAATTAATGAATTCATTAATTTAAAGGCACATGATCAATCCACTAAAAAATCCTTAAATGGTTGACATCCCCAATGTAAGCACCACCTGATTTTGACCAGTGTTACACTACGAGAGCCATCTGAATAAAACTGTGTTTAGAAATGTCCTATTAATCTACCCTCTTCATGGATGCAGTCCAAACTATTAAGTGCCACAACACCTAAACTGCATGTACCAAATGAGCATAAATTGAACATGTCAAACAAACTGTGTGTAAGCTTCTTTTAAAAATCTGAAACATATGGTAAATGTGAATGGAGTAATTTCTGAAAAAAAATAAATGTTTTACTGACTGTGTGCCTAATTTTTACAGTCATTCTTCTACTGTATCCTTTTTTTTAATGAATGCCCTATTTTGCAGATTTTTTTAAAAAAATTGTAATGGGCTGTGTTTTTAATTAACGATTAGAATAGGAGATTATTTATACTCAGTTTATGTCAACAAGGATTGGGTTAATTTTCAGCTAACAGCAGGTGAAAGACCATGTGCACCATTTAAATTATTCAGCACAAATAAATTTAAATCTGCTATAATAGGTGAATTCATAGCTAGCTTTGCTTAGCAGCTTAGGATAGGAAAATGACCTCTAATAATAATAATAATAATAATAAAAACGCCTCATACAGTGCTTACACTTCAGTTGCCAGCTTGCCACTAAGGACCTGATTAGCTATAAATTTATGGGAATCTGCAATAACGGGTGTTTGCCTCCTGATAATGTTTTCTGACACATTTCAGGAGACTCAGCTGATCTGTGTTAGAGATCACTGTACAGAATCTGCAGTTTATACAGGCAATAAGTAGACAGAAGGTCCATTTGAGACCTTTAGCTATAGAGAAGCACATAAGGAAAGCAGTTTCCATAGAAACATGCCCCAAAGCAGTCGTTAGTATAGGAAAAATAGTTTTATGATTATTTCAATGAGGACTCATCCTTTTTTCTTTTTTTCCCTTTTTTGGTAATACTAGGTAAATAAAATACTCACAAGGTCAGTAGAATGTGGGAATGGTGGTTGGAATAAGGTATTTGGTGCTGGTTCTGCCACCTTAGGTCACAGATGGCTGTAAAGAGTAGCATTTAGATCAGGGGTCCTCAAATTATGGCCCACGGGCTGGACCCAGCCTGTCGAGGCCTTCTTACCAGCCCGTAAGGCCCCCTGCCACTGCCGCCGCCACTCGTGCATGCCGCCGGACACCATTTTGTATTCCAAAATGGTGTCCGAAGTCGTGCACATGTGCCTGGCGTCATGCATCCATGTATACAACACCGGACGCCTTTTTGTTTGCCAATTAAAAAGTCCGGGGACCCTTGATTTAGACTATGGGCAAATTCC